TTTTTATCTTTGCACTTGGTTTGGAAACAGATTTCCAGCACTAACAAATTCAACATAAGTTTTTTTTGACAGGTTTTTTATTTTACATATTTTACAATTGGGGTTAGTTAATAAACATAGTAAAATCCCTGTTATTACTAAAATGATCACATTTCTAACTACAGGTAATCTTGATTATTATTTGAATAGGATGATTATAGTTTTTAAATTTTTTGTTAGAAAATTTCCATAACAACTAAAAAAAAAAGTAAAGCCAGCATAATTAATACATCCAACGCAGCTCACAAGATAAAAACATATGGCCAAGAAGATATAAGAAGTGAATCAAAGGTAAATACGTCTGTACAGCTTTGTAATACTGAGAAGTTAAAAAAATAACTGATATCAAGGTACAGTACAGTCCATTAGATAACAGATCTTGCAATTTGCTTGTGAAAACATCTTCAAGACTAATGTTTAAACAACTGGGTGGAGATGTAAAGGTAATTGTTTCCTAATAAAAGCCTCCCTTTCAGAAAGCAGTAAATATTTACATAGTCATTCTTTATCATTATTGGAGGAATTTAAGCTAAGGGAAGCATCTCTGGAGCTGGAAGATTAGCCACTCCATGACAGCTGAAATAATGAAGACAACAAAGTTAGAGAAGAGTTTTATGATTGATAATAGGGGAGGAGGGAGACAGTTATCAATCATTTAAGGATACCTTATTAAGAAGTCATTGAGAACCAAAGTGAATTACTTTTCCTCCAAGTTGTTGCAAAGCCTGAATGAATACAGCATATATTTCTTAAATTGAGGTAAAAACTGTTTTTATCCTAAGTAATTCCTGGAAATTTGGCAAAATTAGGAAGATTTCACACAAGTGTTTCATTCTTTGCTTCGATTTCTCCTTCCAGATTTGGAAGCTTTGTTTGCAAATTTCCATAATATTTCCAAGCTCAAATCCTGAGAGGATCCTTATCTTAGCTTAGTTTTTACTGTAGAGTTTTTATCGAGGGAAGCTTATTTGAGCATTTACGTTTCAAGTAAGTGTTTGCACGGGAACTCAAAGGAACTGATTGCAGTAGTTGTAGTTGTCATGTCTTACCTGGAGTTCTTGTATTTTTCTCTTATAGATTGCTGTTGTTGTTTTGGTGCATGACTGAATGTACGATGAAGATCATGGAGACATGCTTGAAGATCAAGGAGCTGAAATCCAGTGTAGTGAGCCAGTGTTGGATTCTAGAGATACCAAAAGGATCAAAGCTAGATTAATTTCCTTTTTCTCCATTGTGATAAACTGACATCCAGGTTATTTGGTAGGTCCTATGTGTCCCTTTGGATTGCAGAAGGATTCTCTACAAGCTCTGGCAGCCAGCATTTTTGCTAGCAATTTGTCTCTCTTTT